AAGGTAAAAAAAATCACTAAATTAAAAACCAATAGGGAGGCAGAGTTGACGGATGGATGACAGCAACCTAACAACACTGAGGAGCTGTCTCAGGGAGCAGCAAGGTCTTCTCTTCCTGCCGTCCATCTGGTCAGCAAACACCCTTTGGCTGCCTGTGCTGGTTTTGGCTGCAGTACAGCTAATTTTTTTCACAGTAGCCAGTACGGTGCTGTGGTTTGGATTTGTGCTGAAAACAGTGTTGATAACAGGGATGTTTTTGTTACTGTTGAGCAGCTTACACGGCCTCAAGGCCTCTTCTGCTCCTCATCCCACTCCACCAGCCAGTCGGCTGGGGGTGCACACGAATTTGGGAGGGGAAACAGCCAGGACAGCTGATCTCAACTGATTAATGGGATATTCCAGATCATATGACATCATGCTCAGCATATAAAGACAGAGGAAGAAGGGGGAACATTTAGAGTGATGCCACTTGTCTTCCCAAGTAACCATTACCCATGACGGAGCCCTGCTTTCCTGCAGAAGGCTGAACACCTGCCTGCCAGTGGGAAGGAGTGAATGAACTCCCTGTGCTGTCTTGCTTGCACACATGGCTTTTGTTTATTTAACTGTCTTTATCTCAGCCCCTGAGTTTTCTCACTTTTACCCTTCTGATTCTCTCCCCCATCCCACCAGGTGGGACTGAGCGAAAGGCTGTGTGGTGTTCAGCCGTCTGTCGGGTTACACCACAAGAAGTAAACCTGCTCCAACACAGCCTCACCCATGGCTGCAGCCCCTCTAGGGCTGTGCCAGCTCCGTCATGGGCTTACCCACGTGCTTTGAGGTGCTCCAGCATGACCTCATGCACAGCCACTGATGCTTCAAGGTGCACCTGCTGTAGCACGGACCTACCCGCAGCCACAGATGCTTTGGGGTGTACCTTCTCGCACATGGACTTCTTCTTGGGCCACAATCCCTTCTGAGGTACGTGGCACAGATATAACCATGGTCACAGATGCTTCGAGATGCACCTGCTCTGGCATGGATTTATCCACAGCACCAGATGCTTCGGGGTGTCCTGCTTCTGTGTGAACTCATCCACAGGTCCCAGGTCCTTCCACTTGAGTTCATGCTGAAGTTCCAGCCTGTCCGGTCCAGCAGCACAGAAGCAGCAGTGATGGCCACCTGCCAGCCCAGGCGCATGACCATTGCTGGTATCAGAACATTCCCAGGCACAGCAGAGTGAGATGATCAGCAGCACAGCAAGCAATGAAAGCAAAATGCAGCCACTAACAAGCACCGAACTCTAATATACAGTAAGGTAAGCAAGTCCCATGGCAAGCACAGGAGCCTGCCTGCCTGTTAACAGCTGTGAGATGGGAAAGAGAATGGGAGAATAAAAAAGTAAAAGTCATGGGTTGAGATAAAGACAGTTTAACAGGATAGAAAATTAAAGGGAAAAATATAATAATAGAATATACAAAACAAGTGATGCATGACGCAGTTGGTCACCACTCACTGGCCGATGCCCAGCCAGCTCCCAAGCAGCTGTCCCCCCGCTAACTTTCCCCGTTTCCATACTGAGCATGACGTCACACGGTATGGAATACCCGTTTGGGTCAGCTCCCCTGGCTGCGCTCCCTCCCAGCTCCTTGTGCACCTACTTGCTGGCAGAGCACGGGAAGCTGAAAAGTCCTCGATTTAGTACAAGCACTACTCAGCAACAACTGAAACATCAGTGTGTGATCAACGTTATTCTCATACTAAATCCAAAACACAGCACTATACCAGCTACTAGGAAGAAAATTAACTCTATCCCAGTGGAAACCAGGACAGTACCTACCCCTCATTCTGAACCATCTAAGTCATACCCAGGTCCTACAATTTCCAACACATTCCACTTAATCACCACCACTTTTCCTATCCTTCGATACATACACACAGATATCATTCCCTTAGCCTATGTACCATCCCTCTAAAATGTCAGCTGAGTTCAGCTAGTCCATGACTTGGGGCTCCATCTGCCGTAGCAGTCCCTCAGGGCAGGAGGAACTGTACGTGGTGTTGGATTGTTGCTTGCTGAATGAAGCCAGTTCTGGTTCCATCATCACTGCACTTTGCTTGGTTTCATCAAAGTTCTCTCTTCATTAATCAGGATGATTCTTATCGTAATACCATCAATACAGCAACTATAGCAGTGATGACATACAACGGCAGGGTCATACAGCAACTAATATCATGCAATTTAACACACTGGCTATTCTCACCCAAAACCAAATCCCACTGAGGTACACATCTGTCGTGGGTTAGACTGCTCCAGCAACCGAACCCACACACAGCCGGTCGCTCACCCTCCCTCACCCCCAGGAATGAGGGAAAGAATTAAAGGAGAAACGGGAAACCCGTGGGTTGAGATAAGAACAATTTAATACAGATAAGTAATGCACAGTGTAGATGCTCATCACCCCCTCTTATCTGCAGCCTGTCTCGTCCCGAAGCTGCAATCCCGGACGAACGTGAGGCCCCGAAATAGAGAGGGGAGGAGAGAGAGAGTACTCCAAGAGTGGGAGTACTGGAAGGAAGAGAAAAAAAAGAAAAAAGGCAATAGAGCGAAACCACAGCAAGCGCAAAAGAGCAAAAGCGGCGACAGAGCCAAAGCGCAAAAGCCCTTCTTTCCGGCTGACCCTCACTTTTATACAGGGCATGACGCTGCGTGATATGGAATACTAATTGGCCAGTTTGGCCCTCCATCTTTTAAGTTCCACCACAAATCACAAGGGGAATCGTGTCCCCCTTGTCCCAGCTATGCTCCCCTCTTATCCTGCCATGCTTCTGCACTCTGGCACACTTGGAAAAGTCCTTGGAGTCTCACGTCCAACCACAAACATCAACTTGCTATCAGCATTCTTCTCAGAGCAAGCCTTTGAGTAAAACCAAAACACAGAGCTCTTCTAGCTGCTAAAAAGAAGAGCTAACACTGTCCCAGCTAAAACCAGGACAACATCAGACTTCCCCATCCTTCCACATCCCTCACCAAGCACACCCAGGTCCTTGAGCGAAAGCAATCCCGTGGGTGGGTTTGCCCTTGCCAGAGGCAGGACGAACCCAGACTGCGCTCCCTAACTTACTCTTTCTGTGCATTTCAGGGACTACACTCACTACACCATGAGCACATAGCGCTTGCCACAGCGGGTTCATGGGAGCACAATGTAACCAACCTGCCAGGCCTCCCCACATTTGCGTTTCAGCCATTGCCCTCCAGAGCACAGAGGCTTTAACTGCTTGGCTTGCTTAACTGCAGCACGTTTCACGTTCATGGATAACCTGTGCCGCAGTGTCCATGGTCAAGACCACCCCTGGATCACAAGCCCACCTACACACTGCATCCCTTCCTTGATGCCTGATATGTTTGTGGGCCCACCAAGCTATAAATAATTCACCCTTATGTTGCCAGTCCAGATCCACCTGAGCCACTTCAACCCCAGCAGCCTGATCCACCTGCTGATCGTCTGGGACTCCACACAGCAGCTTTGCACCTCCAATGCTCTCCCACAATGCGACAGGACCCATCAGTGAACAGGGCACATCACTTCTCATTTTCTGCTACTTAGTTATACAGTGTGGCCTCTTCAGCGCACACCACCTCCCCCTCTTGCGCACTCCGAAACCTTTGCCTTCTGGCCAGTCCATGACCACTTCCACAACTCCTGGGCAATGGGGGTTCCCTATCCAAGCCTTCTGTGTGATCAGTGCAACCCACTTACTCCACGTAGCATTGGCTGCACGATGTGTAGAGGTGACACTCCCTCTGAACATCCAGCCCAGTATCCACACTTGAGGTGCCAGGAGGAGCTGTGCTTGAGTGCCAACCACTTCCCAAGCAGCTTGAACCCCCTTATATGCTGCCAATATCCCTTTTTCAGTTGCAGTATAGCTGGCCTTGGATCCTCTGTACCCCCAAATCCAAAACCTCAAGCCTCCCCTGGTTCTTTATGCCAGAGGCTCCAGGTAGGGCTGTTCTCCCCAGCTGCGGTGCAGAGCCCATTTTTAACACCTCCATCTGCCTGACTCAGCCCAAGGGCTACTGCATGAACTACCTCCCGCTTAATTTGTTCAAAGGCTTGTCATTGCTCAGGGCCCCATTTGAAATTGTTCTTCTTCCGGGTCACTTGATACACGAGGGTTTACAATCAGACTGTAATCTGGAATATGCATTCTCCAGAAACCCACACCACCTAAGAAATCTGGAGTTTCCTTTTTGTTAGCTGGTGAGGACATCGCTGCTATTTTACTTATCACATCCATCAGGACCTGACAACATCAATCTTGCCATTTCGTTCCTAAAAACTAGATCTCCTGTGCCAGTCCTTTGACTTTACTTTGTTTTACGGCAAAAACAGACTCCAGAAGGATTCGAACTATTTCATTGCCTTTCTCAAAAACTTCTGCTGTGCTGTCTCATATGACGATGTCATCAATGTATCACAGGTGTACCAGAGCTTCGTCCTGTTCCAGCGCAGTCTGGATCAGTCCCTGGCAGACAGCAGGGCTGTGTTTCCACCCCTGGGGCAGTCGATCCCAGGTCTACTGGACACCTCTCGAAGTGAAAGGAAACTGTGGCCTGCACTCTGCTGCCAAAGGAATTGAGAAAAACGCATTAGCAATATCAATTGCGGTGTACCACTTGGCTGCAGTTCATCTTGGAAGTTTTTTCGTGTCCGGCACGTAGAACCCTGCGGCAGCATGACTTCATTCAGGCCACAATAGTGTACTGTCAGTCTCCACTCTTCACTGGACTTTCACGCTGGCCATACGGAGCTGTTAAAGGGTGAATGGGTTTTTCTGATCATCCCTTGGCTCTCCAGTCAATGAATCAACTTACGGATGGGGATCAGGGAGTCTTGGTTAGTGCAGTACGGCCATAAATGCACTGTTGTAGCAGCGATCAGCACCTGTCGGCACCTTCAGCACAGCTACTTCCCTCAGGTACTGGATACCTCTCTCCATGGTGGTCCACTTACCTCAGTGACAGAGCACATCCTCCTCGAAGGGATACCCTTCCTTCACACCTGACAGGAGTCACCTTCAGAGGCTGTGGGCTTTGTCAATGCCCCCTTCCCTAGAAGGGGATCTCAGCTCCTTGGCTTCTCTGCCTTCTAATTCCAGACTACTGTCTCTGTTATGCTACCATCGAAGCAGCCAGGTGACAAAGTGTCGAAGTGCTCACCTCGACAACAGCTGAAATCCTTTCACATATCTCACAGCTCACTCAGGGATAGAGATTGGGTGGTTACAGTCTCATTTATGAGTTCTTCCTCTCCCTCCAAGGAAGAGGAGGAGCCCTCCCACCAAGTTCTTCCTCAGGAGGAAGTGAGGAATTCTTCCTCTTCCTCCTCCTGTTCCTGTGATGGTCTTGCTTTAGAGTAACCTGCTTCATCGCTGGGGGGCTGTACACTTCTTCCTCCTGTACTCTCTTAGGGGAAGCTTCTTCATCCCTTACTAAACGACCTGACTTTCACTTCCAAGATTTCTTCTTGTGCATAGGGGCGACCGGTACGGCATGGGTTGGTCCTCTGGTTCAGCCACAGCGCCTGTTGCTGGGTCTCAAACAGCTGCACTGCCTGTCGTTTTGTTGTCAGATCCAGAGACCTTCTCTTCCCCTTAAGGGTACTGAACAGGGTCGAACAGGGCTCAGTGAGCATGAGCCAGCACCCAGCATACTGCAGTGATTTGTGTCTCCTGGAATTGCCAGGGTGACACCATACTTTTTCCAAATATTTCACTAGTTTTTCAGGATTCTGAACCTGTTGAGGGGAGAAGCTCCAAAACATTGGAGGTGCCCGCTGTCCTAGGCATTTGCCCATGCTATCCCACACACCCTGCCACTCACAACTATTCAGCCTGCAGGCAGATCTCTGGGTACTATTTTAAAATAACTGTTTAACCCTAAACAAGACCTGAAATATGTTCTGGAGACATAGCAATGAGAACATGCCGCCTTGAATAT